GGGGGAAGGTGAGGGGGGGGGGAGAGAATTGGCCAGCGGGGAGCAGGACAGTTCAGGGCACACACAGATCCTGAATAAAAATGTAAAAGCAGTGCCTTTTAACTATCCCCACTGCTGACAGTGAGGTTTAAAGGCAATACAATGTGTCAGAATGGAGAGAACCTGGTGCATTCACCATCTGGAATGAGAATATGGATAAAAAATTCCAAGGATGGGGGGGGGAGAGAATTGGCCAGCGGGGAGCAGGACAGTTCAGGGCACACACAGATCCTGAATAAAAATGTAAAAGCAGTGCCTTTTAACTATCCCCACTGCTGACAGTGAGGTTTAAAGGCAATACAATGTGTCAGAATGGAGAGAACCTGGTGCATTCACCATCTGGAATGAGAATATGGATAAAAAATTCCAAGGATGGTATCAGCTTTCTGAAAATAAATGGGCCCCTTTTCAATACACAATGTGGTGGTGCAGGGTTTTATTGGATTACAGTCCATGTTTCCAATCCATATTCCCTTAACTTGCTGGTAAGAATGTTGTGGATGGCCGTATCAAAAGCTTTGCTAAAGCTGGCCCTGGGGGCTTTGGGAGGACCAAAACCAACGTATTTTCATATTCGTCATTTGCTTAATGAACATGCAAATATGCAAATGAATGTTACCGGTCCTCTGAAAGCTCACGAACGGATTTACTGGTCCCCGTGTCAAAACGTTTGGGAACCCCTGGATTAGGGAAATCGAACATTCAGGCCTAATTTATAATGTAGGAGATTCCATGTCAACGTTTATGTATTGACATGGATTGTCTGCTTTTTGCTGGTTTTACATCAGCAAAAGGTTCCTCAACTGCTGCTCAATGTTCCAGATTTATCACAATATGCTATTGTAATTAGAACATCAAAGCAATGCTGCTGAGATGGGAAGAGGGCACAAGAGGGCAGAAATAAAGGAGCTCAGATTAGATCTTAAACTACTAACAGCAATATCCTAAAGAACAGTAATATTTAAAGATGTGAGACAAACTGAGCCACAGTACCATATTCTAATATCAGTTACTCTGTACAAATACAATATAGCTCCATTGACCACATTTGACTTATTCTACATTTCCACTAATACAGCTGAGATCATAATCAGGTCTAGGATTTTCATGTTACATTACAAGATGGGAAAATATCTATTAGTTTCCAATGCATTGTCTGGTGTAAATCCAAGTGGAGGATCCAACACAGGCATAACTGAATGTATTTCTATTGCCTGTATAATATTATACAGAAGGTCAGACTAGATATTCTAATGATCCCTTCTGGCCTTAATATCTATGAATATATGAAGCAGACAAAGCTATAATGCTAATGATGAAGAGAATTAGCTTCGCACAAACCAGATGTCAATGATCCTACATGTATCACCCACGCAGCTGAAACTTACCATCTAAGTATGGTGTTCCTTCAGATTGCTTGCTATAGATCACACCATGTGGCATAATGCTATAGTTCTTCTCAGCTTTGTTGGCAAAAGTAACTAACAAAGTATCTCCCACTTCAGCCTTGATAACTGGACCTAACACAGAACATGAAAAGAATCACTTAGAAAAACTGCTAAGCATCAAAATATTGCTCCCTCTGCAGAATGGGGCTGATTATCCTGTCAACACAAAATTCACAGTGAGGTGGATTGGAATTGCATGTTTACAAATGATAGAATGATAGAACCTGAAAATATTTACGGTACCAAGTATTCCAAGGTGCATTGTACTCTCAGTTTGATTCTTCTTTCTGGTAAACTTCTCATCTGTATATTCCACATACTGTACTTTCCAATATCGTCCTCCTATTCTATCAATCCCTCGTGTAAAGAATGGTTCAGACTCACTGTGAAATAAAAAAATCAAACTGACTACATGGTCATACACATTCAAAACACTTCTGACAGAGGAAAAATCATTCTTTCAGGCTATGTCTACACTACCCTTCTTTTTCGGAAAAAGATACTCAAATTGCGCTCCACAATTTGGGTACCTTTTTCTGATTTTTTTTTCCAAAAAAACCTCTTTCGGAAGAGCCCTTCTTCCTCATGAAATGGGGTTTACAAGGCTTCCGAAAGAGCGTGTCTGCTCTTCCACAAAAAATGTCAGAAGAGCAGATGTGTTCCCTGAAATCCAGGAAAAAACTCCATAGTGTAGACATAGCCTCATCAGATGAGACAGGGCACAGGACTAGATGAATTTTGATTCTATCCAGTATGGCTAGTCTTATAATTTACCAGGTTCAATATTATTGTTATTGTCATGTTCCTATGTTCAGATCTAGAGTTCAGATGCCATCATATATGCTGAGCCTGTATTGTTAGTGGAATTCCCCTGGTTATGAATGACAGCTCTTCATGGAGATTAACCAACAGAAAGTGCAGTATAAGAATCGACCTGTGCTGCAGATCCAGAACCAGCCCTAGAGATTGGTTTATTTGTGTGAAACTTCTTACTTTGGCAGGTTATTCATTCCAGAATTACGTCCTAGTATAATCATCTGCTTTCAAATTCTAGAAAGGTGGAGTGTAGCTGTTCGAAATGACAGGAGGGGAGTGTGAAGAACACAATCATAGACCACAAAAGTCATCTAGTCTAACTACTCTGCCAAAATGCAGGATTTTTTGTGTCTAAACCATCTGGCCATCCAGCCTTCTTTTGAAAACCTCCAGTGAAGAAGCTTCCACAACCTCCTCAGACAGGCTTTTCATGGCAGTCTTTCAAATATATGATGACCACTATCATCAGAGCCAGCCCAAGGTATGGGTCAACCGGGCTACTGCCCGGGGCGCACCATTGTAGGGGGCGCCACATGGGGCTGCTGAGCCAGGCGGGGGCGGCACCACACATGCTCTGCGCGCCCGGGGCAGCACACACATGTGCTGGGCACCCAGGGATGGGCCACACATGCCCCACGCGCCTCGGTGCGAGGCCACGCATGCGCCGCACACCCGGGGGCGGGGCCACACATGCGCTGGGTGCCTGTGGGCAGGGGGCTCCATGTGCCCAGGGGCAGAGCCACACATGCGTCGCATTCCCGGGGGCGGTGCTGCGCTCCCAGGGCCCGAAACGCATGAATGGCCGGGCCGGCCCTGACTATCATAGACCTAGCCAGTGCCCCAGAGAGTGGTATTATCACCTCTCACAACTTGCATGCTATACATGTTTATGCAACCTACAATTGCATTTCCTTTTTAATTGTTTTTAGTTTTAGTTTCTGCAATAGCGTCATATTGCTGATTTGTGTTGAGGTTGTGATCCATCACCATTCCAAGATCCTTCTCAGAAGCGCTGCTGCAAATTGGTGCTTTTGTTTTTTCTTTCCCTCAGTGAAGCACCTTACATTTGTCTTTCTTAAATTTCATTGTATTGTTGACAGCCCAGTTTTGCAATTTATCAAGATCCCTCTGAGTTTCAGTTCTATTCTCCAAAGTGTTAGCAATCCCCTTAGCTTTGTGTCATCTGCAAATTTAATCAGTATGCTCCCTATTCCACATCCAGGTCATTAATAAAGATGTTAAAGAGCAGCCCCAGAACAGATCTGCGGGGAACATTACTTGGGACCTTCTTCCAACCAACATGGTTCCATTAATAGTTACTCTTTGTTTGTGGTTGTTTAACCAGTTATATATCCATGTAATGGTAGTTCTGCTGAGCCTGCAGTTCTCCAAGTTACTTATCAGAATGACATGTGGGGCTGTGCCAAAAGCCTTACTAACCCACATTCCTCCTATCCACAAAACTAGCTACCCTGTCAAAGAAAGAAACCAACCTGGTTTGGCATGATTTGCTCTTAGTAAAATCATGTTGGCTGCTAGTGATTACCCCTTCATGCTCCAGGTATTCACAAATTGAATGTTTTATGCATTGCTCTAAGAGCTTTCAAGGTATTGAAGTTGAGTGATCCAGCTCCTCCTTCTCCCTCTTTTTTAAAGATAGGCATTTATATTAACTCTTCCTCAGTCTTCCAGGACCTTTCCTGTTATCCATTAATTTGAAAATATTGTCAGTGGCTCCAAGATTCCTACAGTATCCTTGTCTAACTAGCATGCAGCCCTGCTGACTTATTTTGATCTGCATCCTTTCCCTTATTTTGTCTATGATAATCTGCTAGCTGTCCAGTCATATTATTTTTGTGAGAAGACTGAAACATTGAGCAGCTCTGCCTTCCTTCATCTTCTGTTACCTGCTGACAATCTCTATTGATCAGCTGATCCATACCATCCTTGATTTTTCTTTTTGGCTGATGTATTTGCCCATTGTCTCTAGCATTCCTTGCCAGCCGTAACTCATTCTTTGCCTTGGCTTTACTGATTTTGTCCCTATATGTTTACGCTATTCCCATGTATACTTCTTTGATATATCCTACCTTTCATTGCCTTATCCTTTCTCTGCATTGGAGTAGCTTGAAGCTGGCCTCTGCTGTTATACCTTTAACTCCTTTTTCTTCCTAGTTGGGCTTTTCATAGGCTGCCTACAATTTCTCTGAGGTCCATCTTTCCAAAGTCCAGTGTCCATGTTTTGTTGTTTTCATGTTGTCCTTCCACAGGATCTTGAATTTTACCAAATCATGATAGTTTTCTCCCAAGTTTCTGACCACTTTCACATTCACCACTAATAAATAATCCCTGTTGTTCAAAACCAGATCCAAAATGGTTAATTGTTTCCTCAACTTTTTGAATGGGAAAGTTGTCCTTGACATATGTGAAGAATTTGCAGTAGATGTTACAATTTGCTGAAATTGTTTTCCAAAAGGTATCGGAGAAGTTAAAATCTCCCAAAATTTCCAAAAGGTATCAGAGAAATTAATACTGGCTTGTGTGTGTTAGCTAATCCTGTTACCTGCTGTTAACTCTTCCTCTTCCTGGGTGGCCCATGTCAGCTGCCTCAGGTTCATGGGGCTCAGGCTACCAGGATCTGTCATTGTAGTGTAGACTTTCAGGCCTCGCTTATAGCCCAGGTTGTAGGACCCTGAGATGTGGGAAGATCCTAGAGCTGAATGTCTGCACTGCAGTTAAACAACCCCTTACCCTGAGCCCCATGAGCCCAAGTCTGCTGTCATAGCTGCAGGTCTTTAATTGTAGTCTAGACACACCCTTAAGCACTCCAGCTAGCCTCAGTAATGGCTCACAGCACCTCTTTCTGGGACTGACTATGTCAAATAAAGTTCACACAAACCTCAAGAATCCTTAATCACAAATGAAAAATCCCGAGAGAGTCCCCAACACAGAATACAAATTTATAAGTCCCACCTATCTCTCTCTCTCAGCAGTCACTCGATAACGAGTAGGATGTCTTCCTGTCACCCTCCTATTTGTGGATCCGTAGATGGCTGACCAGCCCAATTCTGGAGCCACAGGTCTTATGGATATTGGCTATTGGCTATGCTGGTGGCTATTGGAAGGATGCAGGGCAGTTTTTGCTGTTCTTTTCTACTTCTCTGCCTCTCCTCATCTGTGCTGCAGTGGGACCTCTCAAATTGCGCCTCCCCCTCACAGATTAAAGCTCTCCACTAGGGACGGTCCTGGGCAAGGTTTTCCCAAAGTGTCGACACTGATGCTGCACTTTTTCATGTCTGCCTTCAACATGTCCTTAAATCGCTTCCTCTGGACCCCAATGCTCCTCTGTCCTTCCTTCAGCTTGGGATCTGTTTTGGGAGGTGCTGATCAGGCATCTGAACCATGTGACCAGTCCAACAAAGTTTTTGGTAAATGATGATAGCGTCAATGCTGGTCATGTTCAACTCTTTCAGGATACCAGTGTTCGTGCACCTGTTCTCCCCAGGGATACCATCTACCCTCATGGATGGGACAATCTCATGTACCATCTATTAAATTCAGCAGAGAACTGCCGCAAAACATGGAGCATTTCCCGTACCTTGGACCTCTCTGCCAAAGTCAACATTGACATGGAAATCCAGCATCGCCTGAGCTGTGCAAGCTCTGCTTTTGCCCACCTGAGGTGAAGGGTCTTTGAGAACCAGGACATCAGTGCCAAGACAAAGCTCCTTGTGTACCGTGCAGTGGTTGTTCCAACACTATTGTATGCATGTGAAACCTGGACAACATGTAAGTGTCACCTGAAGGCGCTTGAACAATATCATCAACATTGCCTCAGGAGAATACTAAATATCCCACCCATCTGGTTGGAGCTTTGGCACTGCTCCCTTACCCTTACTCTCTCTACATGATACTCCTGCTGTTGCCTCCCTGGGATCACCTGATTCAACCCAGGTATGACCCATCCTGTCAAAGTCAGGGCTGGCTTATGCCCAGGTACTCCTGCAATGTGGCTAAGTTGCCCTGTTACAGAAGATAAAACAGGCACTTTAACATCTGATATTTTAGGCACAATCCAGATTAGACAGAGAAATTGCATTTTACTTATCAAAATTTCCTCTGTAGTTTCAAGTGGACACCACCATCTCCATCACCAAATTGCTGCTTCATTTCACCTGGTTACATTTCACAGGTGCATGGAATTTGTATATATATGGGATTTGTAATGCAGCTATTTGACATGAAAGGACCAGTTACATATATTAATATATCTAGAAAACCAAGCTAACAAATTTGTGCTCATTCTATTACATTCAATCTCAAGGCAAAACATAAGTGAGTGGAAATATTAGAAGGCAGGACCTGTGTCATCCTAAGTGTCTGTACAAAATCTAACCCTAATGGCCCTTGATCCTGATTAGAGTCTCTGGGCAGTATCATAATACAACTCATCATTATCATCATCATCAACAACAGATTTTTTTTAAAAGAGTTCACCATTATGGCAGCCTATCACACAACAGCTGAGATTTTCAAAGACACTGGACATCCATTTGAATTAATGCTAATCCAGTGTGCAAATCTGTTAGGTGGATGTGAAAATCCACCTATGCTCTTTAGGTTAAAAATCAGAGTGAAGTGCCACGTACCTGCCAGTGGTATTCAGGGCCTGACCCGTGAACTGATCATAGCCTTCAGGGCCGTAATCCCATAGCACAGCTTCAGCAGCAATAAAATACCGTCTTTCCTGACCAGCCAACAAAGGCTGAGAAACATTTTTATGGCAGGTCTGAACATGATACAGTCCCTTCATGCCAGCTAAAATGCAGAAACAATCCACAAACAGTTCTTTAAAAAGTGCAGATTTAATAAATTCAAGAACTGATCATAGCCTTCAGGGCCGTAATCCCATAGCACAGCTTCAGCAGCAATAAAATACCGTCTTTCCTGACCAGCCAACAAAGGCTGAGAAACATTTTTATGGCAGGTCTGAACATGATACAGTCCCTTCATGCCAGCTAAAATGCAGAAACAATCCACAAACAGTTCTTTAAAAAGTGCAGATTTAATAAATTCAAGTATTGATGGTGAGTGAGCCCAGGGCCCCATAGAAACTAAGCA